GCGCGGCCTCGGCTTCCGCAGTTCGGAGCCGCCCGGGGGGGAGAGAGTCCTAGCCCCGGCTTCGCTCCACGGCCGGGCGCTACCGTTTGCTTTCTCCGGTTCCTTCTTGGCGTAGGAAAGTCTCCCGAGTTGTTTTTTTGCCCCTAAACCGCCATCCAAATTAAGAATCCTAGTAACCTGACCACCCCCCCTCCCCACCGGCCTGCCTCCCGCCCTCGCTCCTTTCTCCCTGCCTCTTCTTCCACCTCTAGGTCGCAGCCGGAGGGAAACCCGGGCGCTGTCCCGGTGAGGGTGTTGGAGCCCAGGGAGGGGTCGAGGCGATGATCCCCGGGGCTTTTGTCTGCCCTTTGCTCAGAGAACTCTGGCCGCCTCCACCGAGCGCAAGGCTGGTCGCGTCCCCAGGCATCTCGTTCCCAAATTAAACGTCAACAGGGGAACTGGGCAGACACCCCTCCTCTCCCGGGCCCCACCCGGCTTCCCCGCCCCATGTCCGCTGGGGAGGCTGCTTGGTGTGGAGGCGGCGGCGGCAGCAGCGGCTGCGGCCGAGGTAAGGGCCCGGCGTTCATTGTTTGCAAGTCCCGCCACGCTCGCGGCCGCGGGCTCCGCTGCAGCTGCGGCTCGGAGCTCCAGCGAGGGCTGAGCGCTCCGGCCGATTCCTCGACAGCGCCGGCGGCGGCCACAGAGGCAGCAGTCATCGGGGCCCCGAGAGACCGCCGCTCCGCCCCGCCGCGCCTCCGACCCCTGCCCAGAGCCCTCACTGGGGAGCGGGGGGAGGGGAGAGAGGCAACATCCGGGGAACCTGGTTCGTGCAGGGTGCTTCCTCCCGGAGGTCCTCGGGCTGCGCAGGGTGTGAGATGGAGAGTGTCGAATTGCGGATGTTCTCTCCTCTTTAATGTTTTCTACTTGTCCTTGACCAGGACCTATTCCCCGAACCCGCAGGTGACTGTTTGCCCTTGCGAGTTCCAAGGCTGCCAGCCTGATTTCAGCGAGAGCGCTGGGCGGGAAGACAGGGTTCCCTCTCATCCTGCCCTCCCACCCTCTCCCCGCCCTCGGCCAAGTAGCGTCTAGGATCCCTGCACTCATCATCCGTCCCCCAGAGCTGCGCCGGGGCGGTAACTGGATGCTTGGGGTTAAATGGTGCAGGAGCATAGAGGCGGCGGAGTCCCCGGGATTTTCCACGTCTCGGTCTCCGCCACTCTTACCCCAGCCGCAGGGGTCACCCAGGACTGACCCAGCCCCCACTTTCTCTCTGCAGGAGATTCGTGGGTGACCGTGTCTGCAGAGCACTTTGCTATCCATTCTCCTGGACCTGGGGAGTTAGAACCCGCAGCTCCCCATTCCTCTTCGCTCCGCCACCATTTCCAACGTCCCGCAGGGACTTGTTTTGGGGTTCCCACTGACTTCCAGGAAGGACGCAAGCTCCTCTCTGACCCCAGCGCCGGCGGCCACCTGCCTTCACCGCGGTGACCCTACTCCCATGACCCTGCGGTGCCTGGAGCGCTCCGGGAATGGCTCGGAAGGGACGCAGAGCCAGTGGGGGGCCGAGGGGTCAGCGGAGGAGCCGTCCCCCGAGGCGGCGCGGCTGGGGAAGGCCCTGCGGGAGCTCAGTCAAACAGGTAGGGAGCTGACCGGGCCCCCACGCGTGCGGGAGGGGCGTCTGCCCAAAGACGCGGCTGGGGGGCGCGCTGGCGGGGAGTGCCGCAGGGAAGTGAGGCCAAGGCATAGGACGTTTTGGCAGTGCGTCCTCTAGCTTCTCATTCCCCGCTCCAGGGCGGGGGGGACAGAGGATGCCCCCACAGCCCTGGATCCTTGAGAATGCGAAAAGAAAGTGGTTCTTGTTCTTGACTCTGAGGCCTGGAGGAAGGCAGAGAGCGCGCGACGGGCTGCTTGGAACCAGCCTCTTGGTGCGCTGGGACCGTTATGGTTTTTCTGCGGCTAATGAGGGGTGGGCGCTCAGACTGGAAGCGCTCAGCGCCCCAGTCACACCCGCCTCCCGGGCGGAGGCGCAGCTGCAGCCCAGCCCGGGATCTTGGTGGCCAAATCCAGGGGCAGACCGCTTGTCGGGAGGGAAGGTGTCGGGTGCGGGAGCGCAGGCGGCGAGGCCCCTGAGCGCCGAGGCCCCTGAGTGGCGCTTCCAGCGGCTGCGCGCCCGGCCATAGGGCTTCTTTCCTGGGCAGCTACTCTGCGCGACTCGCGGTCCTCTGCGGCATCTAAGAAAAAAGGTGAAAGAATCTGGCAAGTCATTTTGGCTTTTAAAACGTGGACCCTAAAAACTTGTGTTTGAAGCAAAATTAAAGTTTTGGTAGCAGCAGGGAGAGGGATAGAGCAAAGTACCCTGGCATGCGGTTCTGGTTTTTCCTGGGGACCACCGGCTGAGGGGACCTGCAGGTTGCAAGTAGCCCAGAAATTTGGGGGTGGGGCCAGAGGGAGCACATAGTTCAAACATTTTAACTGTAGAATGTCTTTGAGTCACTTTTTGAAAACGGGATGGACGAGGAGATGGCCCAAAGCCGATTAAACGGAGAATGGGGGTGGGGAGGTGTACAAACAGTTATGGCTGGATTTGGCTGGGGGCAAAATTCAAAAGCATTCAAGGAAGATTGTAAACTGGAGTTACTAATATCAATTGGGACCTCCCATTTCGAATGGAAAGGCGGTGTAAGCAAAGCAGCAGACTGGAGCCACTGTACTGGAATGGTGCTTTTTGAAACGAGTGAGCTGGAGTGCTTTCTGGGGCTTTGACCAGAGATTCAGTGATTAGCTGATTTTCTTTTTTTGAAAAGGGAAGGGGGACACCAATCATCCAAAAATTGCTTCGTTTTACTCTATGGGATTGAGTGGAGTTGGGCTCTCCACTCTTTTAAGGGCATGACTTTGGATTTATTTGTAAATTTAAGTGAAATATTGGTTTCACTTAAATTGTTTGGAAAACATCATGCTTTGTCAGCCTGTCATATTGTACGTGTTCTTTTGGTTTGTTAGAAGAAACTCTTCAGATAGTTTAAAGAAGAGTTACAGAAAGTAATTGAGGAATAAAAAAGCTAATTCACAGCTTGTAAAATAAAATGGATTCAATTTTTTTAAAATTAAATTTCTACCCAAATATTTGTGGCAGATCCTGGTAAACTTTCACTTACATACTTTTTTTTTCTTTTTTAAAGAGCTAGAAAAACTATTGCCAAGTACTTGCCCTATACTACAAATTCTCATTGTAACTATTTACCCTCCTTTCTTTTTCTTTTTGAACAAATCCCCAGGATGGTACTGGGGAGGTATGACTGTTAATGAAGCCAAAGAGAAATTAAAAGAGGCCCCCGAAGGAACTTTCTTGATTAGAGATAGTTCGCATTCAGACTACCTACTAACGATCTCTGTTAAAACATCAGCTGGACCAACGAATCTGCGGATCGAGTATCAGGATGGGAAATTCAGGTTGGATTCCATCATCTGCGTCAAGTCCAAGCTTAAACAGTTTGACAGCGTGGTTCATCTGATCGACTACTATGTGCAGATGTGCAAGGATAAGCGGACAGGCCCAGAAGCGCCCCGGAATGGCACTGTCCACCTTTACCTGACCAAACCGCTCTACACATCAGCCCCACCTCTGCAGCATCTCTGTAGACTCACCATTAACAAATGCACCCATACCATCTGGGGACTACCGTTACCAACAAGACTTAAAGATTACTTGGAAGAATATAAATTCCAGGTGTAAGTGTTTCTCTTTTTCTAAACACGCCTCCTTTAGAGCATCTCCGAATGCAGCTATGTTCAAGAGAACCAAAACTTGAGTGACTGCTCTGGCTAGCTCTGCGGAATGCTTTCTAAAGACAGTGGAAGCCAACCTAATCTAAATGCCTGAAGAGGCAGCTAGGTAGTGAAAGTCCCCCCAGATATTTTCACCTGAGTGATGCTTCCCTTTCTAAGGCTGACCAAGACCTGTGGCCATCCTTTTACACTTAAAGGTAGGATGTTCCGAGTAAAGGCCGAAAGAGTGTTTGATAAGACGGCCCGGCCTTCCTGAGGTTCCTTTTGCATTCTGATGTACCTAGGAGTTTGTTAAACAGATCATGCGTGTGAGTATTTAGTCCTCATTTTATGCAATTAACCAAATCAACCAAAAAAAAAGTTGACCATGAAATCCTGTATTTGTCTTTTTACTACACGTATGCACTCTCTTCAGTGTGAATGAGTACTGTAGTAATCTATTTTAAGGGAGCCTTATTTCAGAACTCTTTCAAACTGGTGCAAATGGAAAAGACTTTCTCTTTTCCTTTAAGGCTAAAGACAAGAACGCCATGCTATACAGGTGCAACTCAATCCCTGTTAATAAAAAGCAATGTAGATATAGACATGTTACCCTTTCAAGTAGCTGTGTCCCAACCTGTTGCCATTGACCTTTTCGGAAATGGCTGTCGAAGTTTTAAGTTGCCCTTAAATTGTCTAACCATGGACATCAGCAGTTGACTCCCTTCTACCATGTAGAATACCTTGACTTAATTTTCTTCCAGATATAGGGGGGATGCCTGCCTGTTTTTCAAAGTGTTTATTTACTGCTGTTACTATTTGACTAGAATGTATTAAATAAAAAGAAACAACCTGACTTTTACAAGTTGCGCTTATTACTTTGAGTTGCAGAAAATGTGTGCTGTCTCGGTGACAGAGGGTTCCGTAAAAACTTAAGTCAGAGTGAAATGAGCCCAACGATCTGATCCGCAAGAGGTAGAACAGGACTTACCCTCCTCTCCACTGTGGGCCATACCTGCCCTTTGCATTTTGGAAAGCATGGTTCAGAAATGATAAAAACTGCCGAGTCGCCTGGTCTTTCACAAGCTGAATAGGTGTAACCTTGATGCCTCCGGTGTGTCCAGAAACACAGTTCAGAATCTGCAAAAGCTGTGACACAGTCTGGTCTTTCACAAGTTGCGTAGGCGTAATACTAAATAAAAATGATGTGTTTTATGGCCACTGATTTTTGGCTATACCGTCCCACGACTGTTGTAAACGTACCTGCTTTTGCTAAGTCCTGACATTATTCATTTTGCTGCATTTTTTTTAATTTCCTGTAATGTATAGCCGTATATTACGGGACATTACCAGAAAGGTTAACCTGGTTCATCTTATGTGTGCCTCGAGTATAAATAAATCAGAAAATTGAGTTGTAAATACAGTTAAACCTGCCTACTGCATAACTTACTTTATTTCCATGAAAATCTTGAAAAATGGTTTTGTGCCTGGAAGGACAACATACTGTACGTTTTCGGACAGCAGAACCAAACGCAGGGTTGCGAGGGGTGCCTTAGGAAGAAAGTTTTCTTGTGGCCTCGAATTTAAAGAAGAGCTAGGCTTTCAGGGCCTGAGCTATGATGGGACAATAAGCTTTTCATTAGGATGTTCTGGGCTTTGTCACCTTTTCCCTCTGATTGACACTATGCGTCCACTATTTGATTTTTCTGGCAAAACTTCCACATGATCTGTGCCCAGGGGCTTGGTGGAATTTCTCCAAAGGTCTATTGCATTTCTAGTCTTGTTGTTTCAAATGCTGTTATTTGTCAGTTATGGGACTGCGTTATCACAAGCAGGTGATTGATGAGGAAGAGAGAGAACTGCAAAGACATGGCTGATACTGTGCCCTGGAAGTCTGACCTTCTATTTCTTCCCTAGTCTAAGCAAGTTGATATGCATCAGGAGACGATCCTTTCTGTGGTTATAAGTACTGACATCCTTTATTGAGTTTATATGTACCAGGTTCTTACTCAGCAGTTGACCTGCATTATCTCATTTAATCTTGACGAAGGTGGAATGAGCAAAGGCCAGTATATAGGAGGTGCAGATGTCGATGTCAGTCCAGATGAACACCTTCGAGCAGGCTGTAGAAGGAACCCTCAGCCTTCTTACTGGTGCCTCAATGGAGAAGTATAGGTGCTTTAATTGGTGCTGTGTTCTGGGGGTTTGTGGTCAGCTTGGTCTGATGGTTTTTCCCTGAACGCTCCTAAAGGGGGAGCTCCTAATAACTAGGAGGGTGGCAGGTGGTTTCAGATGTGGGTTATTACCATTTCACTTGATGGCTGGTAAATAAACAGGGGTAAATTATTGGTAGCCTCATTTTAATCTTTGTGGGAGGAAAAAAATTAAGAGGGCCAGCAGATGGTATAAAGATTAAGGTGGCTGGATCCTACCTGGCTGATGGTGTGGTTTGAGCACAAATCTGGGTCCTGGACCCAGCGGCTTGAAAAACACACCAGGTATGTGTATGTGTGTGTGCATGCCTAAAATGCTAAGAGGAGAATGGAGAAGAGATTGTGGCATGGTCATCCCCCCTATCTAGGGCTGTGCTTTTGCTTTCTCACTTTTCCTCTCTTTCTCTGTCTCTGGTGAGTGTACACACCCTATAGCAAAATTAAATAAATTAAAAATTAAGATGTATCGTAGTCTACCTTATCCAAACCAGAGCCTAGAAAAATATCCATTGTTCTCTCCCTATGCAGGGCAGTTTGGGGTGTTTGTGAGGATACTTACTGTTGACATGGAAGACTATCATAAACAGGACCTGTATATTCCCCACTGACTGAAAATGTTTTGCTGTGCATTTTGATTTGGAGCAGAGGTGAGGCAG